TACTGTCTTTATAATTACTGTATTACCTTACTGTCTCTATAATTACTGTATTACCTTACTGTCTCTATAATTACTGTATTACCTTACTGTCTCTATAATTACTGCATTAACCCTTATATCTTTGTTCTCATGGATGTAAATAGTCTTGAGTAGTAATGTATATACCCTTTAGATCTTTGTTCTGATGGATGTAGATAGTCTTGAGTAGTAATGTATATACCCTTTAGATCTTTGTTCTGATGGATGTAAATAGTCTTGAGTAGTAATGTATATATCCTTTAGATCTTTGTTCTCATGGATGTAAATAGTCTTGAGTAGTAATGTATATATCCTTTAGATCTTTGTTCTTATGGATGTAAATAGTCTTGAGTAGTAATGTATATACCCTTTAGATCTTTGTTCTGATGGATGTAAATAGTCTTGAGTAGTAATGTATATATCCTTTAGATCTTTGTTCTCATGGATGTAAATAGTCTTGAGTAGTAATGTATATATCCTTTAGATCTTTGTTCTCATGGATGTAAATAGTCTTGAGTAGTAATGTATATACCTTTAGATCTTTGTTCACATGGATGTAAATAGTGTTGAGTAGTAATGTATATATCCTTTAGATCTTTGTTCACATGGATGTAAATAGTGTTGAGTAGTAATGTATATACCTTTAGATCTTTGTTCTCATGGATGTAAATAGTCTTGAGTAGTAATGTATATACCCTTTAGATCTTTGTTCTCATGGATGTAAAAAGTGTTGAGTAGTAATGTATATACCCTTTAGATCTTTGTTCTGATGGATGTAAATAGTCTTGAGTAGTAATGTATATATCCTTTAGATCTTTGTTCTTATGGATGTAAATAGTCTTGAGTAGTAATCTATATACCGTTTAGATCTTTGTTCTCATGGATTTAAATAATCTTGAGCAGTAAATAAATATACTGTTTAGATCTTTGTTCTCATGGATGTAAATATTCTTGAGCAGTAAATAAATATACTGTTTAGATCTTTGTCTAATTGATGATATGGTACTCCACCTGTTGGGTTTTCATGTAACTGTATTATTGTGCATATACAAGTCAATTTCTTTTTACTTTGTAAATTTTTAGAAAGTAGGACTCCTTGAAGTTTTTGTATGGTGAAGATAGGACTGAGTTAAATTAAGTAACGACAATTACTTGATATGTGCAGATAGAAACAGAGGTTGACACATTGTTCGTTAATTTCAGTGTAGGACATTTGAAAAGAATTATTTGTAAAGAGTACAAGATTCCTGAAGAAAAACAAGTACTTCTAATCAGTGGAGGAGAAAGTCTGGAGCCTACAACTCGTGTATGTAGCTATAGTGCCGGTACTGACACCAGCCCAATTTTTCTCTTCAGCAAAGTAGTAATAGAATCTTCTTCTCCACCCCTACCAAGTGTCGATTATGGATCAAGTGAGCTTTCTCCGACTTCAGTAATGTATACTGTCTAAGTTCAACCATTAAGTGTTGTAATATTCTCTCCTAAAATGTGAAAGTTCTTTTTTAATGCATTGAGCTGAAAGTTGTGCATGGTCAATTAAAGCTTGCAGTGTTTTGCACGGCTAACAATTTTATCTCGCTGTTTGTTGCTGTTTTTGGTTTAGTATTATCCTGTTCTGTTTTCACACGAGTTAGATTTGATTCCATTGTATGTTTAGTACAAATAGAATGTAAGATTATACGACCGAGTATTAATTTAATAAAGTGTTGTAGAAGATCTAACTAAGTTACTTAGTTTTGCTACACATTAATATACCGATTTAGTAGTTAAACCTTTAATGTTTTTACTGGGTAAATGTGATAATGTTTTGATGAAACCTACGTTTGTGTGTAAAATAGAGATGCACGGGTCGTAAAATTTGGCTGAATCCTGGGTCTGATTACCTGGTCACTAAGCTGAGGCCTGGTTGTTTATCCGGAATGTGTCCTCTCTTTGCACCCCCCCCCCCAAAAAAAAAACAACAAAAACAAAATTGATATTTATTACGTTTAACCGAATAATCACCAACAGAACATTCAAGTTTTACTTTTAACTTTCAATGCCCAGCCCCATCTTTTCAAACCCTAACCCATATTGTTCTTAGAAAACCCACCTTTCCCAGAAATCCACTTCTCAAGCCATGCCTGTTATTAACCCCTTTTGTTCTCTGAATCCCCGACTTTCAGTGGACGGGCAGTTTTTGTTGCTCGGACCATATTTTTTTACAACTAAACCAATTATTGATTGTAACTTTCAGTACAATGTTAGTTGCCACAAAGATTAGGGCTTAGCTGTCTAACTTTAATACTCGGCCGGAGCCACGTATTACCGGGTGCCCGTGCTTCCCTAGTGTAAAGTAATATTTTTAGGTCTTATATCAAGATTTGGATGTTGAAGAACTGTCTATGTAGTATTTCTAATTCGGATAAGAAGAAACGTGTCTTGATATGAAATTTCTGTTGTTCCACAAGATCTGTCCTTATCCAGACACGTGACTTTTCAACAGGTTTCTGTGTTTGACCATGCATAGGTCGATACAAATTTAAAAAAAAGTTCCAAGGAACATTAAAAAAAAAGTATGTTTTCCACCCGTGAAAATTAAAACAGTAAGTTTTGTTGACTGTATAAACTGCGTAGTTGTCTACAGACATAAAATACGCCAAGACTAGGACAAAGTAAATCGCATATCTGGAGAAGTACAGCAGTGTCCAACTTGTATGTTTTTTTTTTTTTAAGCAAATTTCTTGAAGGAGTATTCAAAATGGTTCTTGTTTTAATGCTAAGAATCAGTGCTTACAAATGTTGACATTCAGTTAAACATTTGAGGAAATATTAGCCAAAATGTTTGTTGTTTGATGCTCAGAATCAGTGCTTACAAATGTTAACATTCAGTTAAACATCTGAGGAAATATTAGCCAAAATGTTTGTTGTTTGATGCTCAGAATCAGTGCTTACAAATGTTGACATTCAGTTAAACATCTGAGGAAATATTAGCCAAAATGTTTGTTGTTTGATGCTCAGAATCAGTGCTTACAAATGTTAACATTCAGTTAAACATCTGAGGAAATATTAGCCAAAATGTTTGTTGTTTGATGCTCAGAATCAGTGCTTACAAATGTTAACATTCAGTTAAACATCTGAGGAAATATTAGCCAAAATGTTTGTTGTTTGATGCTCAGAATCAGTGCTTAAAGACATTGACAGTCAATTAAAAACAAGTTTTGAGAGGAGTGGTTAGAAAAATGGTTAAGTTTGAAAGTTGGAAAAGGTAAAATATGCACAGTTCATTTTATAAAATCAGTTTTACCTTTGTTCATCTGGAATCGCATCAGAGCACTGTCCCAGGCTCCAGATGAGGGCCCAGACAATCTCTATAGCTGGGGTCCTAGACAATCTCTATAGCTGGGGTCCTAGATAAACCCTAGTAGCTGGGGTCCTAGATAAACCCTGTAGCTGGGGTCCTAGACAATCTCTATAGCTGGGGTCCTAGATAAACCCTGTAGCTGGGGTCCTAGACAAACCCAGTAGCTGGGGCCCTAGATAAACCCTATAGCTGGGACCAGACAATCCATGACCAAATCTTCAAAGTATTACATTTCTTAAGAGTCACAGATCTGATTATTACTGTGATTGTATTTTAATATTTTCTTTTGCACTTATCACAACTTTGCAGTGAGTGAAAACATTTCATAAAAAGCATGTATACTGGACCTTTGAAGTGTCTGAAGTAACGTACATATAAAATCAAAGTCCCTTAACTTTTTCTTACTTAGGACTTAACTGTGTACCGTTTTCTCTTTTTTTGGTTAGTAAGTGTAGACGTTTTTTCATTTGTAAGGAAAAAAAAACATACACTGAGCCGTGGGATTTCACTAATTTTTTTATGTTCCTCATCAGGTCCAGATATGAAAAACTGTGTAGATAGTTGTATAGACATGCCTCCAACTTATGAAACTGTTGTCCATAGAGCACAATTAGCCCAGGTATGTATATCCTCACAGTGCCATCTGTTGTCAGAACTATATGAAAAAACACCTTCCAGTGATAGATAAAAATCATTATTATAACTTAAGATAAATTAAAATAGAACAGTTTGTCTTTTATACTAACGTCTTCAATACACAAGTTTTTGAAGATTACACTGTTGAATTGAAATGCGATGTTTCTGTAACATCTTCAATACACAAGTTTTTGAAGATTACACTGTTGAATTGAAATGCGATGTTTCTGTAACGTCTTCAATACACAAGTTTTTGAAGATTACACTGTTGAATTGAAATGCGATGTTTCTGTAACGACTTCAATACACAAGTTTTTGAAGATTACACTGTTGTATTGAAATGCGATGTTTCTGTAACGTCTTCAATATACAAGTTTTGAAGATTTCACTGTTGTATTGAAATGCGATGTTTCTGTAATGACTTCAATACACAAGTTTTTGAAGATTACACTGTTGAATTGAAATGCGATGTTTCTGTAATCTATTTTTTTTTTCCTTTGACAGTTTGTTTTGCAAATTTAAGGTTGAGCCATTTTTTTATAATTTTCACAGCAATTTCATGATTTAGCAAAGAAGCAGACCAGCACTTGTGAGAAACTGGTGCATGATCAACATCTTCAGCAGCAAGGATGGGCAGCGGTCGTTGCTAATTTAGATGATATCACAAGGTATGATTTGTTACAGTGACTTTTAGGCCTACTTTTATTATTATTTTTACATGGATTAACTTTCCCATTGTTCAGCTAGTCTTCTTGTATGTTGAGTATAGTATATAATATCATGATTTTTTTTTTTAAATAACCATTTAACAAGTGAGGTTTTTTGTTAATATTTGGAGAGGATTGTTTTTAGATAATCCAATTAAATTTGCATTTTTTACAGTACCCGATACTAATGTTAACTGTTTCAATGATTTAAGCTAAACAAATAAAAAGTTATAATAAACACTATAATCAGTTTCTAATATTTACAACTTAACATCGGTTGATTTATATAGCCGAGGTTTGAGATATGAGATACTTACTTCTGGTCGTTTATTCCTAACAGTGCATTTAGGAATAGAACTCAGTTGTTTGTACAAAACTTCAACCAGTACTTAAAAACCAGAGGATACCATGTAGAAATCCTTCACAAGTAAGTGTCTTTATCAACTTGACAAATAACAAAAGTCGTAACTTTAACAGTAGATTGCAGCATTCTTCCAGTTAAGGCCTGATGGTTAAGGAACTCGACTCGCAACCTGAGGGTCGTGTGTTTGAATCCCCATCACCAAGTATGCTTGTCCGTTAAGTCTGTTTAAATGTAACCACCAAACCAGAACATAGTAATTGTATTGTTAAGAGGTAATGTCTCTTTCTTTAAAAACTTGTGGACGTTAGGTTTTTTAAAAAAAGAACTGTAGCATAGAGTAGTAAATACTTTACTTATGGAGTACTTGATTTCTCAAAACTTCTTAAAATCTAAATAATTTATCTTTAATTATTTTTGATACACCAGCTTTAGCCATCATTTCTGACATTTGTACTATTCACCAGTTTTAGATGTCACTCTGTTGTGTTATATCCATTATATTTTTCTGTACACCAGTTTTAGCCATCATTTCTGACTTTTGTACTATTCACCATTTTTAGATGTCACTCTGTTTCGTTATATCCATTATATTTTTCTGTACACCAGTTTTAGCCATCATTTAAGCCTTCTGTCCAAGATACCAGTTTTGCCTGCTCTACTCAGTGATATTCCTCACCATGTGGAAGGTTCTCTGCACAATGACAGCACTGCATTTTCTCTCCTTCATTGGATTAACTCAAAGGTTTGACTTTTGTTGTGTATTATTTTGTTAAGCCAGTATTCACTCTAGTTAGAAATTAGTTTTTGGTATATTTGATTCAATATTTAGTCTCTGCACGAGGATTGTTTATTTTATTATTCATTATGGTACAAAGTTTATATATACATATGACAAGACATTTTATTTGAAGTAATAAAAAATGTTTGTTTTATCTACAGAAATGTCTGTCTGTTCACGTACAAGGAATTCTTTGTTTTATCTCTTCGTCTGTGGTGCAGAGTGTTGTATTTGATTTCAGTATGTTTTATTCCTTTATAATTTAGGCTGGATGTTGCCTAATGGTTAATGTCCTTGAATTGTGAATTCAGTAATTCGTTTTTCATCAAAAAATGCACTCCACTCTTTGGAGCCACGATAATCAAATCTCACTACTTAGTCAGTTAAGAGTGGCCAAAGAACTGGTTGTGGGTGTTGTTCCTCGTAATCTATCAGTTCAAAATTAGGAACAGCTATTTGAAGGTAGCCGTTTGTGTAACTCTGCAACAAAATTTATAGTGCAGAAAATACACATATATATATAACGACGTAGTTCATTAAAACAGTTTTAAAACCTTATCCTACGTAATAGATAAGTTAATGATGCAAAGAAAAAGTTGTTAGAGCACAAGAGGGAGAATTTTAACAATACACACGAGAAATCTTAAACCCTCGCAATTTAATTCACATCTCAAGTATTGTTAATCGTATCTTGTTTCCAGAACAGACGTCGTAATGTACGTGTAGGAATTTCGTGAAAGATGCCATGTATCTCTGCTAACGTTTATTGAACATGGAGTATAAAACACAAACATGGAGTATAAAACACAAAATTAACCGATAAAGTAGAAGTATTCCCTGTGTGATTTAGTATTAATTTATAATTTTTTATTTTTATTATGGTCAAATTTTCTTGTATGGTACTTTGATGTTATAAGTGAGTGAATAAAAAGGTCATCAGCCTCGGTTTTAGTAGATCTACGTTCTTGAGTTTACTCAGTAGGAGTTCTCAGAACAAGAAATACTTCTGTAGTGTTTAAAATAACTAATAAAATTTATTAAATATACAGATATTTTCATTAAAGTTTTCACTTGCGTTAAAGTACAACCTCAACACTTCTTGGCTCGAGTATTCTGTGTATCGTCTTGAGTAGGGGTTTCAGGTAAATAAAAGAAAATACGGTGCATTATTTGGATAATTTCAACTTAGTAAACCTACTGTTCTAGATCAGTGTTCACATTATATCTACCTCTTATTAACTGCTAATATTTCACAGTAATACAATAATAATAATGTATAAAATTTTGATTGATATTTTTATTATTTCCTAATTATTCTTCATAATTTTTTCAGGATAACCAGAGTAGTTTAGAACAGATGGCAGATCAGTGTCTACGAGGACTTGAACAGGTAGTTTTGTTGTTATTGTCATTTTTCTTTTGGCACAGAAAACTGTAAGACAGTGTAGTTAGATTTATATGTACCTTTCTATTATGTATTAACTGAATAAAAAGTGTTAAGAAACTGAGTTTCTTTGTCTTCAGTTTCCTAGAATGTATTAGAAAATATAATAAAACAAGTTAGCTTGAAACCCAGCTGTAGGTTAATGGCTCGGTCAGGAGATTGTACGAGTTTTTAACTAGGATAATAGGATAATGTTTCGTATTCCATGGTCATTGTAGAATGTTTCAAAATTCTTGTTCAACTTGTTAGAAAATATATAATTTCATTCAAATATAGTGCGTGTTCTTAATCATTAGAATTCACAATAAATTATGGTTACTAAATTCAACTGGTTCAAATTCCATTAAACCTTGTTTTATATTTTCAGAACTTTCTTTAATACCCTCATCTAGCTCATTTAGTTTCACCATAAACATATTTTGTTTTTTAAAATGTTGCCCTGTTTTGGCAGCTTTTGTAAGGCTATATATGTACTTATATTTATAAAATTTAGTTTCTATCATGTTGGTAAATTATTAACCCTTGTTGTGACTTTTATTTAAATTATTAACCCTTGTTGTGACTTTTATTTAAATTATTAACCTTTGTTTTGACTTTTATTTAAATTATTAACCCTTTTTGAACATATAAAACATTGTTTAGCTGAGGATCACTTTCACGTAAAGTACAAATACAAACTTAGCTGATCTGGATGTTTAGGACTTGTGTATCTGTAATATTTTACAATGAATTTGGTTAGTAATGTAATACAATTTTTTTAATGAAACTCACTGTGTGTGTGACAAAAGTTTTAACTTAAGGTGGGATCTTTAAAAACTGTTTTTTTTTCGACTTTCTCAAATCGAACAAACAGAAACTGATATGAGTTTTATATTGCATGACCAGTTCAGTGAGAGCATGTTGGATGTTCTTCATGGTGAAATAAATGACACTCTTGAAAAACTAGACAATGTAGATATGAAGGAAGTTAAAGGACTTGAAGCTCGTCTGTACGGCTTGGAGAAACTTATGTTCGAGGCACATCGAATTGTGAGGGAACAAAGTGATCTAGCTCAAGTAGGTTCATTTTAAATTCACTCGTCAAGTTTAGGTTTATGGAATTTTAATTACTTGGTTTGTTAATTCTATTTTCCAACATCTACAAAAACATCAATCATAAACTTGCAAAATTTAATGATTATTTAAAAAAAAGCATAATAAATTAGTTCAAAAATAAAAGCTCTTAGTTTATATTATCATTTAATCGATCCAACGACGACAAAAAAAAAACAAGCAGAGGAAGTGACTTTTATAATAGCTGCTCTTTTTGGCAACTTTTAAACATAATTACCACAATGGTTTAGAAACCATACCCTCAACACTGGTTCCTCCATCCAGTACATTTGAATAGAGAATCTGTAATATAATCACAGGAATTTTTGTATATATTATTGATTGCTTTATTTCTTTATATTCGTAGGCATTTGTTCAGAACCAGACTAGAGCAGGCAATATCGGGGACACTTCAATTTTACCCGACTTATGTGCAAGTCACAGTCGACAGCTTCAACTAATGCTGAAAAACCATATGCAACTGGAAGGAATTTTGCAGAGATGCATTGATGCAAAAAAAGAACTGTCTTCGAACTTACATATCCGACTCGGGTATGCCTATTTCTTGAGTTATTGTTCTCTGCGGTGCTGAATTAAAAGATTCAAGTTTAATTTCTAGATAAACTTTATTTTAGTATACCTTCTGAAACAATGTACTAAATATCAATCGATTATCGTAAACACGCAGTTTTTAAAGTGACGAGATTTGAAAAATATCTTACCTTCGAATGGAAAATTTTAATTTCGCTGAACGTCTTAGATATAGTAATGGTTAAAATATGAGGAATTGATATTTCTCCCTTATGAAATTTGATTGGATTGAAGTAAATAAGTTTTAGTTTGAGCTCTAAAGTTTTGTTGTTGTTGTTGTGAATGGCCATTTCGTTGATTATCTAAAAAAGAAAATATTCTTACGACAACTTTGCACAATTACATATATTTAACTAAAAAAGCTGTATTATGTATTTTTTGTTTAACTATTTTAAGCAAACTGATAAATTATTTAAGTTTTTCACACACTGTTACCCACAAGTGCACGATATCATGTATGAAGGGAGAAAATTCAAAACATAATGCGTTGAAGTAATCTGTATTGTTCTGATGAATCTTGTCGATCATAAGAAGAAAACTGGTATACATGTTTAAATAAGAATCACTTTCATGGGTGCTTAACAATTTTGTGTAGCTGTAAGATGTCACTTCTTTGTTTCAATGGAATCGAAGAACCAAAGTATAATTTAGTCTTACATTCGCTAATTTCTTTTAAAATGATCGTCTGATGTAGTTTTTTTGATGATAATACAATCTGCTTTTCATTTCTGTTCTATCAGGTGGATAATGTATGTTGAAGGGAGGATTTCTGACTTAGACAATAAACTTTCTATATACCATGAAAACTTGAAGAGATTAAAGCGCCATCTGGATGTCGTTGAACAGATTCATCTCACTCCGCAAGTTTATGTTGCAGCTGTTGTCGAGGTTGTTAGAAGAAGAACGTTCTCAACTGCGTTTTTACAGGTGTTTTTATTTCCACTTTTTCTCTGCGTGTAGTTTGACCATCGCTACAGCTTTCCAAAGTATTTATGTTTTTTTTGCAGTAAAAGTCTGTCATGATCATATATTTTGTACGTATGTATTACTATGGTTGTTCCTATAATAACAGTTAGACGTTCAGTTGAAACTCCATCATTAGATCTTTCTTCCTATCTGTGTATAACAACAACATTTGTAAACTGGTATACCACATTTCTTATCTGTGTATAACAACAACATTTGTAAACTGGTATACCTCATTTCTTACCTTTGTATAACAACAACATTTGTAAAC